CTCCCATTGTAAGCCGAAACCGGTGCCTGGCTGGGTTCACCCATGCGACTATAGGAAAGATGGATGCCCCGTCGCTTGTCTCTCCGGTCAATGCAATAACATCGCTTGACATTTCTTGGGCGAACTCCGTCAAAAAGTACAGAAGATGCTTCCTCTAGTCTCTCAATTAATAGCATTTGCTCGATGCCATGGTTGATGATTAATTGCCGGCGTACAAGGTCGTTGTCGATCTTATGATCCAATGTTAGGCATATCCAACTATGATTCCACCTAAGTCGCTTACCTGCAAGACACGCGATGCTGTGTCGAAATCAGCGTCAGGTTCGTGTTGTGACGTGTCGATATGGCCATCGCTTCCTATAAAAATGGGGCATACGCTTTCGGATCATGTAATAAGCTAATGTATAGTTAAGAAGTTTTAGGACCGCTCACCAATTAGTTCTCTGCATAATACCGGATAGGATATTCATGTCCCTTTTTGAAGTCACAATGAAACTGTTCAATGTCGTGCCGAGCGAGGTTTCCAAGATTGATGACCACTTCTGCTCAAGTAAAGTCACATGGTATCCAATTGGACCGACAGGAGGCCTTGAGAATGACTTCTCTTGTTGGACCGCCCTGAGAAGTATTGGCATCTTCTCATGATATCCTGATTGCTTGACCCCACCTTCCTTGGTAAGATTCTGTAGAAGTCTCTCCGCTTGTTGAACGTCTGCCTTCTTCTTGTCAATAGGCGCTTCTGCTGATTTAGCATCCCTTCCGGCTTGTTCCAGTTCCCGACACAGACGACCTGTATCTTGTTGAAGCTGCTCGTACTTCTCTTTTGCTCCATTCGCCTCCGATTGTGCCTGCTCGTATTGCTCTTGTTGACGGATATAGCTTCCACCACTGACGTCTGCCAGTCTTTTAGTTTCCTCAGCAATTTTATGCCGTGTCTCGTTGATGCTTGTCTCTGCTGCTTTCATATATTCCCTAATCTGGCGTTGTTGGGCCTGTCAAGAATATAAGTAAGGTAAGAATTTACCAAATTGGTGACTTTTCATCCTTTGGGTGATAATACCTGTAGATCATGACGCTCACTCATGTGCTGTTCTGACCTATTTTTGATCTCTTCTTTTTCGTTGTCCGCCTGCCCAACCTTTGACTGAGCTTGCCTCACAAATTGAGCAGCGGTCTCAGTCTCTCTTTCAACTTCTTGGAACGCATCATCAAATCTACCAAGTTCTGCTTCGGCTGCTGCAATTTGTTCGTTTGCTTGTGCAAGCTCATCCTCTAGGGCGTCCCGTATCTGCGCTGGTTAGAACGATGCACAATATATATCGGACAAGGCGCACTTCTACCTTTTCCTGTTCCTCAACCTGAGCCCAGGCCATCTGATTTCGAATATTTCTGATCCTGTTTCTTAATGATTCGTGACGATCTGAAATCTCCAGCCTCTGTCTTGCAACATCTTTGCGATTCTCCAGTATCCCGATGTCTTGTTGTTTGCTTTTGAGCTTCTCCAGAATCTGATCAACCGACTCCTCTATCAGCCGGTAATCCTGGTCCAACTGTTCAAGCTGGACTCCTTTCACAAAAAACTTGTATTTCTCGGCCGGGCTAGATGTGCTGAGAAATTGACGCGCCATGTCTTGCGATAGAACATTCATAGGATTGTCGAATTGCAAAGTGAAGTAGTCGATTATGGAATCCAATTCGGCCTTCTTGTTGGACACTATGCGACCATTGTCGGCTTTGATTCTGAAACCACTTGTCCCATTCTTTGTAAAATGGCGTTCTATGATGATAGATTTCCCGTAGTCGTCCGGCAAATAGGCGCCATCGCCTTGATTTTTGATCCGCACAACGATAGCAGCATGTCTATGAGAGAATATTGATTAGACACCGAATTCTGAGCAGAGTTGAACGGTCACGTACTCCTTGCCCTCTTTAATAAAGCTTTTCAAACTCTGTCCACGATTGGTAGCAGACGCTTTACCACCCAAACAAAGAGTTATCGCTGTAAGAACTGCACTTTTGCCGCTCCCATTTTTCCCCACGATGAAGTTAATGAGGGGTCCCAGATCCACTGCAAAATGGTCATGACACATGAAATTGTAGCATTCAACGCGCTCCAAGATTCCATGTTCGGCGGGAACATTCTCTTCATTGCTCGATGAAGAATATTTCTGCTGAATTGCCTGGGTTGCGCGCAGCTCTAATTCATCTTCATCCTCGTTGAGAGGCTCGGGTATTGACGCTGCCCCATCATCGTTGCTGGCCTTGTTTTCTCCAGATATAGGGGAGGCGGACGTGCGAGGGCGTTTTCTCTTCTCATAAATATTATTGTTAGCTCATTCCGCTGCGATTCTTGGTTGGTCTGCGCACCGAGTGGGAAGAGCTTGGGGCATGAACCGTGTCATCGTCCCCAAGTTCATCATTATCCTCAGATCCCAAGGAAGACTGGGAACGCTTCAAATGAGGCGACATTACGAGAAATTATCCCAAGGGATTGAGGGCTAAGTATTCCATATTGCTTGACAAGGTATCCAGTCGTTGCGCGATTGATGCGTTAATGCGATAGGGTCGCGTTCGTCGCGTGTCGGGACCCACCGCCAATTTTGCCGCCTAAGGTAACGGGGTATCCACCATTCCTACTCCAGAAGTTCTACTCCGTACCGTAGAAGGGAAATTACGAAGAGTCGAATGCCAATATACGTACTTGAATTCTGTAGACAACTATTTTGTACTTATTACATAAACGGGGTATCCTATGCATTCATAGGTTCTTCAGCAACGTAGTGCAAGTATGCACCGAGCAACTTGACACCTTCGATATAGTTCCTCTTGTCAAGTTTCTCATTAATAGAGTGCGCGGCATCGGTCGAAGATCCCATGGGAAGGAGCAACACATTCTTGCCCGTAGCTTGTTCGAAATTCAAGGTGACAGGTATACTATAAACCAAATTAGCACAAGCACATATCAGGAATGTATCGAATCTGATGACGAGCAGAAGAAACATACCTGCCACCCTCACGTGTCATATCTGGTTCGACACCGAAAACTTGCTTCACAGCCTTGCTGGCAGCAGTAAAATTCCAGTGTTTTGGACTGGCAACCCACCACTTTCCGTCATGCTGAAGCCACACGTCCAGGGTATTCTTAGTGTTCAACTTGGCAAATTCGGATTTGATGTAGTCAAAGACGAGCTTGTTGACATCTGGGCTCTCCATGTTTGGCACCGTCCGAATGGAGAATTTGCCAATAACACTGGCTGGGATTACCGTTTTGGCTCCCGGGGCAGAGTAAGCACCCTCGATACCGTGGATAGACAGGGATGGGTATCTCCATCTGGCCATGAGCGTCCGCTCCTTTGTCGTGTGGATGCCTGTCTCGCTCCCCAGCGATTCATGGAGGTTCTCCATAGTGTAGCTGATGGCAGGATACAGGGACTTCTCTTCTTCTGTCAGGGGCTCCACGAGATCCATGATACCGGGAACCAAGATGTTGCCCTGCGAGTCAACAAGCCTAGATAGAACGTTGACTAAGTCTGTCATAGGTTCGTGCGCAGAGCCACCAAAGACACCACTGTGTAGATCTTGGGCGGGACCAGAAACCCGGACGGAGTAATAATTGCAACCTCGCAATCCGTAAGTCAAACAAGGTTTCTCTGTACCAAGCCAGTAGTTGTCTGAAATGCAAACGGCATCTGCGTCCTTGAAAAAGCCCTTGCTCTCCGACTGGATAAACTCCTCCAATCCCTCAGAACCATACTCCTCCATTCCCTCAAAACAACAAAGGAGGTTGACTGGCAATTCAACGCCCGCTTTCTTATGAGCTTCAATCACGTTCAGCCAGCCCAGCACCGGCCCCTTATCATCTGTACTGCCACGGCCGTACATTCTTCCGTTCTCATCGACAGACAATTCAAAAGGCTCTGTGGCCCAGCCATCTTCCTTCAAAGCAGGCTGTACATCGTAGTGTCCGTATACCAGGATAGTTCGCTTATTCTTGTCATTACCATAGCGAGCAATGACCACGGGAGGCAAATCAAGGTGTTCTTTCCCGGGCTGCTTTCCTAACGGCCTTTGTTGCACCTCTGCCCCCAAAGCTTCAAGCTCCGAGCTGAGAAACTCAGCCATCTGAGAGATGGCAACTAAATCAGTCCTGATTTCAAGAACCAATGTATTGTATAACCGACCTTGAACACATCCTTTCTATTTTCATCCTGAGCAGAAACAGAAGGAATGGCCACTGCTTTCCGCAGCCCTTCAGGATTGTTAGTCGTCTGCCGCACAGAGGAAGGAGAGGACCGCCCGGAAGCTCCAGGGAAGGCCAATAGAGCACGTACGATCAATAAACGAACCGGACAGACCGTCCACCCTAAATTGTGAAAATAGAAATGAGCTTTGACGAAATACATGAGAAACAGAATGCTTCTAGCTCTCAAACTCACTGTTTGAAGTAGGGTTCCAGCTGAGGCGCCATTTTCTGATCACTGATATGACCGTAAAATGAACGGCGAGAGGAGAAAAAAAGTGTTCGGGAATAGGTGAAATGTGATGGTGTCCAGAATTGCTGCCGACACCGAGCGGGGTAATACTGCGTGATCGAATGTAATCGTTGCTTTGCCAGAGACACTGGGACGCGGAGGGGCATCTTTTGGCCTTGGAGAAAGATGGCGGGGGCCAACCAATACTTACTCGGCTTACAAGTGGACAAGGACACCTTAGGCTCCAACAACAGGGTCCGAAAATAGGCGCAAGATTATTGGCACTTCCTTTTCTATGCTGGAAAGATTTGGGAGAATAAATGGACTAAAAAAGGTAATATACAGTAGTTACACTGATATGTGTGGTAATGCTAGAAAACAAATCGCTGCTATTCACCCCACTCTGACTGAATCGAAGACATAACTTGATGTTTTTTTTTTTTTTTCTTTTCCTTTTTATAACCATTTCCTTTTTAGCATCCCTGTCCACAGATAGGAAGGACACAGAAGGAAACACCAATGGATTACTCATTCATCTCTTCCCCAAGACTCCTTCCGCAACTGCCGGTCTTCCCTGGCCATCCGCCGCTTTGTGCCCCATCTAGATTGCACTGCTTCAAGCACTTGCCGCTGGATCTCTCTCTTCTGTGGACTAGCTTCACATACCATAGCAATGAACATTGGCGAGCAGTCAAAACGTTTGGCAAGTTTCCATCGGCTCCAGGTCATGGGGTCACTGAGTCGGAGTCTGCGGATCTCCTCGATGTCCGACTGATTTAAGTGGTATTTCTTCTCAGGAGTGGATTTGAAAACGGGAGGAAGCTCCTTTGCATTGTGGCTGTTCGTGGAAGCATCTGTACGTAGGCCTCTTCGAATGTCGTCGGCGGGCAGAAATTTTGTTGGCGTGTGATACACAGAAGGTGCGCTTGAAGGGGGATTGTAGATGATTTGTTCTTGGAATTGATCTGACGACGCACCAAACGAAGCATCTGGTTTAACACGTAGGCGCTGTTTCGTACGCCTGTAGGAGGATTGATTCCGCCGCGATTCTATGGAAACAGACTCGGATAGCGATGGTAGGAGAAATGGGAGAGTAAGGAAGGGTCGTTTCGGAGCAACAAGAACAACAGCCATGACGAAAAAATATGCTTCACAAGTTTGTTGCTTTTCTATGATGTTTTATTCTCTGGGCGTTGCCCGTCGTTTCATGCAGAAATTGAAACTAGAGTGACGCAACGAGAATCAGCAAAAGACGGCGTTTAACGGGAGGGAAGGATGAGATGATATACAATTCCTGTAAATCTGTCGTTTTGACGAATTCTGGTCTGTCTCGATTTTCATGCAGGGCTTTCAGTCAACTTTGGGTTTTGTATGAACATTATTTTTTTCCCGAGTTGCAAGTGAGTCCCGTGACACCGCAAAGTCCGCTTACTAACCAATACTTTACTCAGATTACCGAGAATTCATACTTTCTACTACTCCGTATGGAGTGAACAATGAATTGAACCACACTAGCAGACTAATTCAATCGTGTCTGCTTTAAATCTGTATATCACCTCGGCCCAAGTACAAGTAGATCCTCAGGGCTTCACCTGGACTTCCCGCATCCACAGAACGTGATCTGTATGATACTATGGCATACATCCCCTGACACTAGAGGCCCATATGTTTATGACTTCTTGACACTCGCCACTGCATCTAGCGCTTGCTGAAACCTAGAATGAATGTCTGGAATATCTTCTAACCCAACACTTACTCTCACCAAGTTAAAATCAATGCCAAACGAGCTTGCCTGCGAAATGTCAGACAGAGCACATTTGTGAATGGGACGAGAAAATAATTGGATTAAATGATACTTACCCATTCCAATTCGTTGTAATGTGCTATCAATGTGTACGGGCAACTAGGGTTTACCATTAGCATTTAATGTTAAATTATATAGATAATAAGAGACTTGCCTCAGAGTGAAATTAGTCCCAAGACTAGGTCCCTTCATAACTTCCAAGTTATCGAAGAAAGCTGTCGCCTCGCGAGTTGTATGAAAAGTAACAGAAAAAAGACCGCCGTAACCCCCGGTAGGGTTGCGGACGTTATCGTAGAATGACCTTGAAGGGCCATACTTGGGATAGTAAATTTCTTTCACTATAACATATCAAATCAGCAACTAATGCGTCAAACCGACATGAAAATCTAATACCTAGTGGCGATTCTTTCAACATAGCCGTGATATCCTCCGAAGTCTTATTAATCTTCTCGATTCTGGGCACGAAGTCGCGGCTATTTCTTTCAAGAAACACCGCGTCTTCCGCCCAGTAATTATCCTCGTATTCTTTGTTGAATGCATTCTTCAGCTCTTGATAGAAGCGTCCGTGTGGATTGATGACGGCGCTTCCTCCCATAACATTGCTGTCCCCGCTGAATATTTTCGTCAAGCTGCTGACAACGACGTCTGCGTATGGAAGCACGTTAATATTGAGGAAGTTGCCAACGGTCTCATCCACCACTACAAGAAATTCGTATTTGTCGGCAAGTAACCGTATCCTTCTAAGATCTGGCGTTTTGAGTAGTGGGTTACCAGGCACTTCGGTGAAAAGGGCGAGAAACCTTTCACCGTTGGCCAAGCGCGACTCCAAGTCATCCAAGTCTCCAGACGAACCGTGTCCGTAGAATAAGCACCCTGGGCCCCATTTTTCAAGCACTTTCAACGTATCAATGTACGGGAAGCCGAAACAGATGCTCTTCATGGGGCCTCTAGCGGCCAGAGCGATTTGATGGGCATTGAAAATTGAGCCCATTCCACTGGGAAAGAGGTAGACGTCGTCTTCGGTCAATCCCGCCATTCGCCCCTCATCTGATGCCTTTTCAAGAGCCTCGCTTAGTTCAACGTCAGCAGTCATAACACCTGCTATCCGTCTGCGAACGGCCAACTTCGCTTGATCGGCCAAAGAAGTGTTGAGGTTCCGACCAAATCGCTCCTCAATAAACTGGGAGTATTCTCGGCCGTCTTGGGCCCCATCAATTGCGGGAGATGCGCTTGCGGTTGGTCCGGTGCCTCGAGAAAATCCGCTGATAGATCCTTTACCCTGGTATCTTCGCGGTCCTTTACAGGGTCTTTGTGCAGTAGCGTCGGCCATTGCTGACCTGCTCTCCTCCACAAGAAAATTGTCTTCCAGGGCTTTGAGACAAAATTCGCCACGGCGACTTGACACTCCATTGCCAGTGTGTTGCCATACTTGCTTGGCGATTGACGCATACTCTTTGGGATATATCACGCATGAGAGGAGCGACGTCACTGCGGGGGACTCGGCATCAGTACGGGTGCACGGGACGAAGTTCACTATTCGCACTCCTGAAGATTTTCCTGGAGGTATCCTCGATAGAACGAACGAATGGCACACATTCGCGGTCTTTGGCGACGGAAATAGAGTAGCCGACTCGGTTTCGGGATCACCCTGGCGACGTACAACTTCTCGAGCAAGATCTTGGATTATGGGATGGACAAAAAACCTCGGATAGCCACATTGCATCTTCTTTGCGATCCATTCAGCGCCTTCTTCATAAGCCACGTTTGCTTCCCACGTCGGAAGCGACACGCTGACTGCCTTCTCATTGTTAGCAGCTTTACATGCAATTATGTTAGATCCCACAAAACAAAGGGCACCGTTGACAATTAAATATGCCCAGTAAAGGTAGGAGGATTGGATTTCCCTGTTCCAATTGATCCATTCTGAATCATAGAGAGGGCGAGGCATAAGGAGAGGCCCGAATCAATAGACGCGGGGCTTTCATGAACGTACATGGTCTGTGTTCGGAGGGACAGGCCCTCCAACATCCTGAAGCATGACGAACAGTTAAAAGAAAGAAGAGCGGCACAAAAAGAGAATGCAGGATAAAACGTCAATTGCTCTGGTTTGTTTCTAAATCGGAAATCAAAGCAGAGTAGGATCCTTGTTATTATATGACGGAATACACTATGAGTAATTTTCAGTAATCAGTTCTCCGACCGAGGAGGAAAAGTACAGAGCGACTTCGGAGACAGGCGCAGAATGTCTGCAGTTATGATACTGCATTTGCGCCGATTTGCCTGCTGGACGACTGCCAGAACTAGCATATCAATAAAATTTTATCTAGTCCTCCATAGTAAAATTGATCCATTCTGGAGACGACCCATGGGCATCTACGGTCATATTAGTCTCATGGTATTAATCATTACACAAATTGATACAGTCACATGACTAAAGATAAATCGGAGATCGGAGATTGGCAGATACGAAGGAAAAAAAAAAAGTTCAACTCTGACAGGCAAAAAGCAAAGGCCCAACAACCACGATCTGGCTGTCCAGTCATCAATATTTTTCATATATTATTTTATGTTCCACCTTGTCCTAAAATGTTGGATCACACTGTGAAGAGAAGGAAAATTAGTCCTTCTCCAGAGGATGGGGAGAATGGAAACGACCAGATCGCTTCAAAAAACGCCAACAAGAATGCTTCTTCGGTAACAACCAATACAACCAAAAGAGGGAAAAATGATCGGACAGCAGAGCTTGCACTTGCTAGTGGCTTTTACAAATCAAGCTTCTTTAAGTTACAGATGGACGAATTGTTGACCGAGTTGCGACCGAACTATGATAGACAAGTCTCGAAGATCCAAGAAACTCTCCACAAGTTAAAGAAAATCATTGAACGCGTCCCTGATCGTCAACCAAAGCTCGCATTAGTTGCTGAAAAAGAATTGCGCAGCGAACATGGCATTGTCGTCCCATACCCTGCGCCCCGGTCAGGAAAAGATACGAAGTATAGCGTGTCGTATTCGAAGCCGGCAAACGTCAATGTGGTGGGTAGTTTCGCTCTCAGGACGGGCATAAGGTCGCAAGAGGCGTATACGGTTGATCTGGCTGTGACGATGCCAAACAGCCTCTTCCAGGAGAAAGACTATGCCAATCATAGATATTTTCACAAGCGGGCATATTACATCGCATGCCTTGCTGCCGGTATTCGAGAAGCAGACGACTTGAATGTCGATGTTAAATTTGAATTTCAGGATGGGGACAGTCTCCGTCCGCTTGTCATCTTGCAGCCCGAGGAGGATAGCGACATGCCCGCTAGATCGCAAATCCGTATCATCACCGCCATTGACGACAAACTATTTCCGATTGCACGTACCTTACCTTCGAAAAATAACATACGCCAGGGCTCGTCGGCAGAGAAATCCGGCCATGAACAATCTACGCCATTTTACAATGCAGCACTTCGTTCTGAAGCTACAGTGGCTCTGTACCACAAGTATATATATTCAGCTTCCCGGAAATGCGAAGCTTTCAGAGATGCTTGTATCCTTGGCCGTACGTGGCTCCGACAACGAGGATTTGGATCTTCGTTCCAAAGCGGTGGGTTTGGTGGGTTTGAATGGACTGCTCTCATGTCTTTGCTGTTTGACGGTGGAGGTCCGAATGGAAAACCCATTCTTTTACCATCCTACAGCAGTTACCAGTTGTTCAAAGCCACTATACAATTTTTAGTGGGCCGGGATCTCAGCGAACCCTTGCTGCTTTTCGCTTCCGATGTACCACTCCCCCCTGGTGGCCCAGTCTTGTATGATGGCAAGAGAGGACTCAATCTTTTCTATAAGACCATGCCTTGGTCCTATGAATTTCTCCGTCACGAAGCCACGACCACTCTCAGGATGTTGAACGAGTCTCGTGATGATAACTTTGAAAAGGTTTTCATACTCAAAATTAATGAGCCCATGCTGAGATATGACCGGCTCATCTCCCTCCCATATTCGGATAATGGAGACGTCCTCCAAACGATTCGTCACCAAGCCGCAGTGCATGAAGTGGTCTCGAAGGCACTTGGAGACAGAGCTGACCTAATTTCGCTGAGCGGTCGCAGCATCGAACCTTGGACGGTCGACGGAAAGCCTTCATTGAAGAAAGAGGGCGGAAACATCAACATTGCGTTACTTTTGGATTCCGAAAATGCATCGCGTGTTGTTGACCACGGTCCGTCCGCCGAGGAGAAGGAAGAAGCGGCATCATTCCGAACTTTCTGGGGGGAGAAGGCGGAACTAAGACGTTTCAAGGACGGCAGTATCCTTGAAAGTTTGGTGTGGTCTGATCTACCATCTTCGC